TGATAATAAATAATAATTCTTATCTACAGAGCTATTGTCTGCCGCTTGGAATTTTGTTATATATACATATGAAGACCAAATTATTAGCCCCCCTGTGATTTTTATATATTTATTTACTCAGTTTTAGACGTCTCCCAAGTTCTTCTATTCAAGTTTTCTTCAACACACTTTTAAGCAATAGTTTTGATAGCTAATTCATTTGTCCCGATGATGACAGTATTTAATCAGCTATTTTTCAAGATACAAGTATTCAGTCTAAGTGCAACGTAACTCGCCAAGGTGGGTTAACCTGGCACGTTCGTGGGCTAAAACTGTGTCCGTGTGTCGTGTGCCTGTGTGTGTGTGTGTGTGTGTGTGTGTGTGTGTGTGTGTGTGTGTGTGTGTGTGTGTGTGCGTGTCTGTGTGAGCGTGTGTGCGAGCCCGTGTGCGCGTGTATCTGCTTTACAATCTTATATTTGTCCATATACATTAAGCTATTTCAACAAAATAACTAACAATATCGATACAGACATATATATATATATATATATATATATATATATATATAAATATATATATATATATATATATATATATATATATATATATATATATATATATATATATATATATATATATATATATATATATATATATATATATATAATTTCAGAATTTTTTATTGTATTTTATTTTAAAGAATATTAGAATATTTAGAAATCAATATAACCTTTTATAGAATAAATTTATCTGTTTGGTTTTCTTCATTTATAATATAGTTGGCAAATGAATGAGAAAATATTCTAAACTGATTTAATCAGTATTAGAAAATACTCATTGTTAGCTTGAGTCTAAAAACACGATTGTCTGTTTGTGTGATCACTCAGATGGTGAATTAAAAGTTTTGAAAACAGTTTTTTTGCACTTTAATATAGCTTTGCATGTTTAATTATTCGTCCCTTGATTCACAGTGATGAGCTTGCCTATTGTTTTCACTTTATCGTGTCCGTGTGTGTGCAGGGACACAGCAGCGTCTGCCGGCAGTACTGCGCGATGTGACAGGATGCTGAACCATCACTGCAGAAGGAACCCAGAGCTGCAGGAGGAGCTGCAGATCCAGGCAGCGGTGGCGGCGGGCGATGTTTACACCGTCCGCAAGATGCTGGAGCAGGGCTACTCGCCCAAGATCAGAGACGCCAACGGCTGGACGCTGCTGCACTTCTCTGCAGCAAAGGGCAAGGAGCGCTGCGTGCGCGTCTTCCTCGAGCATGGAGGTAAATTATTTTATTAAAGCATTCAGTGTGACTTTTAAAACTATGTTAATTCAAACATTCATCATCATAAGGTCTTCCTAGGGTCACTCAGGCATTTTGTTATTGTCCCTATTTCCACGAAACAAATAATAGGCAAATAAAGCTTTTGTTTTTCATACAGTGATGGATTTTTAATGACTAAACAGTCGAAAAGTCATTGAACAAGCACAAAAAAAGCATTTAAGGTTTTAGTGTGATGTTATTTTACAAAATTGTTTTATTATCATTGACATAGCACGCAACAACAAAGCACGAGGCAGCACGTAAAACTCTCCCGGCCGTTTGTAAAGACGCGCCTCTTACAGCAAAAAAAGCGCGTTTGCTGTGATCAGCCCCTTATGCTGCCAAACTTTAAAAATATATAGAATTTTATTTTTAGTTGTTTAACTGATACCATTAATCGGTTTCAAACGTACCTTTTCAGTTAACGGTTAATCGGTTATTTTGAGCATCCTTAACAACAGTCAATAAAGACCACAAAGATATATAAAATATATATAAACAATAAAAAAAAAACATTTTTGAAAATCTACACATAATGTTTAATAATCATTTTCATTAACACCCGCCAACCCGCCAAATTTCAGCTGTGGTAGACAGACACTCCGAATAGCCACTTGTTGGAAATAATTTTTGAATTTTAGTTGTCTTAAAAGCAGGGTTCTACAATAAAGATGGCCCAGTATGCGTGCAAATGTGATCTTAAAATCGAGAAGCAGCATGACTGACAAAAGTAATTGTGTTCGCGTGAGCAAAAGAAAGCAGATGAATAGCGAATGAGAGGATGATAACTCTTACGTGCACAGGTGAGGTAATGCGCTTGGCTGTTTAAAAAGCGTGCGTGCTCCCGTTTCCTTTCCTGAAAATGCAATTGGTGCAATTCATCGGTTCTCTTTGAAATAGACTTGACAAAAGGTGATGCTCGTGCACCCACAGTACTCCTTCTTTCAAGAGCTCCTAATTTGTAAAAAGATGTGTTTTTGTAAGCAGCAGTGGTTACTTCCACCATTCACTTTCACCACTCTTTGAATAGATTATTAACAGGCCTAACGTAACACGACCATCCTTTAATTATCACACGCGCTATGTTTTCCACCTGCTTTCTTTTGCTTATGCCGAGTTCAGACTGCATGATTTTCACAGTAGTCGTGTCACAGATGTTTTCACACTGCATGACTATCTGGGCTTGCGTTTCGTCGCTGCTTTGTTTTCACTGCAAGATGGATCGGCGACAGGGACATTCACATTGCATGACTTTACTATAGGGAGAATCGCTGACAACTTCGTCCAAACTACGTCTCACAGCCAAAAACACGTAGTATATCTTTTGTTATTAACTACATAATGAGAAAGAAGCCTTTAATGGGGTAGAAAATGTACATGTTTGCTCACCTGGGTTTAAAGGGAATTAGCCATTTCTCCTCAACGTTGATAATAAGCTAATTTCTTTCTCTATGAAACGTCAAACAGACACGGTTGCTCCTGAGTTCTGTCAAACCTCCACTAGTTTTTCCTCCATTTCGTGGTTCCAAATAAACCAAAAAAGAGCGCTTTTAACTTCTCCCCCAGCCTCCCTCTGACCTGCAGCAGGTTTACAAACACGCACACACAAGTGAAAGCTGCTCTCTCATTGGCTGTAGGCGATCACTGATGTTATTTTCAGTCAAAACTCAATTCACACGGCATGATTTGAATCGCCGACAGCTCCAGGTATTCAGCACGCCAAATATCTCACAGGCATCGGCGACTCATCGGCGATTCTCTCAGATCGCATCTTTGAAAGTTCATACTGTGTGATTGGCACTCACGTGCACGAGCAGCGATTTGCCTGTGATTTCAGGCATTTGTGGGCGACTTCTCAAAACCTGTCGGCGAGCCAAAATCGGGGCTAAAATCACGCAGTCTGAACTAGGCATTAGTTATTTTTGTTAATGTATGGTTTAACTATATTTTGTACAATAAGATTGCTTTAATAGGAGATTGACTCCCCGTTTAGCTAACTGGTGATCTGAGACCTTTGACCAGGACACAGACTATGCTTTGTTTCAGATACATGACAATATCATTTCTAAAAAGAAAAGTTTTGTTTAATGAAAAGTGTATGTATAGAGCTATATTTTGCTTGTTTTGACACATTATTTAAAATGTATGGCTAAGAAATAATAATTTATTGTTGGTGTGGTCAGAGATAAATTAAAAATTAATGGTAAATCCTTAATTTTGAACCCTGAAAAGTCATGTGAAATAAAAACTAATTGCTATGAAACCACAACCCATATGCTCATGAGTCATGCACATTGAGCAAGGTCATGCATAACACACAAAAAAGTGAAATGCATGTGGATATAACCCAAAATCAAGTCATTTTAGCATGTTAAAGTCAAATTTATGCATATAAAATATGTTTTCCTAACAATAAAATTGTGGCTAGTGATGTTCACACACATTCACACGGAGCACAGCTTCAACTCTTCCCAATTGCTTTTAATGGGTGACGTCAGGCGTTGCCGAACTGCATTGTGGATCCGTCAGCGCTGCTTCAGAGGCGTTGCTCGCTGCAGAAGTTGAGACTTGTTCAACTTTTCAAGCACAGACAGAAAGCCAATCAGATTGCTGTATGCAAATGCACCAGCTCAGACAGTGGCCTATAGACCTTTTACGCAAAAACCGGAAGTACGTCAACAACGTGTAAACCCAGTTCCGGTATGAGTTTTTTGGTGGAGAAAAGGCAGCTAGAGTGTTTTCGGCGAGCCTGAGTTGTCTTCTGAAGTTAATTAAATAAGTAATTAAATACATGCAATTAAAATAGGGGAGAGCGGGGCAGAACCTAACACAGGGCCAGTTGTAACACACTTGTTTTAAATATTTCCACACATGCTAGTATGATAAAACTTCGTGTATTTACTAGATTTCACAGCAATAAATTATTTCATTATTGAAATTTTTTTTTTTTTTTTATTAGTTGAGTTTCGTGAACAGCTTATATTATTAACATTAATTTGTTCAGGTAGATATGCATAATGGTACACCCAGGTGACTAGCGTTAACTAAATACACTATGAACAATCTTAACTGCAGGTGGGATAGAGGTAAAGTTGGTTTTATATTTGCACATTCAGACTTTCCCCTTAACAATATAATTTCTTTAAAGTATTATTTGCAAACTCTAAATAGCGAAATCATATTAGCAGCCAATGACTATCAAAGTACAGCATTGTTCACAATCAAATAACCAATGTTAATGTTGTTTTTAAGTCATGTTTGCATGGTAATTTCGATTGAATATTCAAAGTAACATGGTAAATAATATAGAGACTTCTAAATGAAGGAATGTGTGAATATAAAACCAACTTTACCTCGATGCAGGTGGGTGTGTCACGTAGTCGTGATCCATCCTTGCTGCCTTAGCCACCGTGTCGCTATCTTCACAGCATAGCTGTTTAGACTGACGTTTGTAGGTTCTGTCATATACTGACTCCCTTCTCAAAGGAGCTGTAAAGTTGTTCCAAGGGAATAGGCTCTGGACAACACCACTCTTCAGGCGGCGAACGAGGCAGCCACCACTGTAATCATCCAAAGCGAAGTGCCGGCTGCAGACATAGGTGCTACCTGTTTTACATTAAAACTATGCCCTTCCTCTCTTCAGATCGCCTGTATCCATTTGGGTTTCAGGTTTGGATCCACAGGAAAAGAATGAAATAAAAGGTAGGACTGTTTTTGGTTAGAAGACGAACAGCCTGGAACACAACAGAAACTGCGATTTTTCGACTCTGCCATTTTTCCGTATCTGCCGCTATGATAACAGGAAGTTCTAATACACTACATTGACGTATTTCCGTTCGAAAAATGCGGAAGTGCGTAAAAGGTCTATTGCTGACTAATTTCATTGACTGACGCCGCTATGACGATCTCATCAGCCCCAACTTCAGACACGCCCTCTGTCAAGCGTTGATGCTGAAGCCCCGTGTGACGTGTTGACGTTAACGTCAAGACCTGTATATATTTATATTAATGTTTTGTATTTTTTATGTGAAGGGGATGGTTGTGTAAATGTTTTCTTCTTTTTTTATTTAATTTATTTATGTGCAGTTTTTATTTTTCATTCTGCCTTTTCGTTTTAGTTTTGCTCGTTTAAGGTAAACTTAATGAATATTAGAAATATTGCTTTGGCATCTAACTGAAATAAAACAAATTCAATTTTTAAATACATTTTAGTGAACTCAATTACCTTTTAATTAGGCACTACTTAATTGTTGATGTGAATCCTCTCATGTAATTGTGTAATTATGATTTTGAAATGATCAAGATCTTTTTCTCAGTAGAACAATCCTTATAATCCAGGTTATTATTTTGCCTGATGGAATTTATTATGTCATTAGCTTCCTGATCTCTTCTGGTCATCTATTATGCTTTAAAATACCGGACTGGTATTCAACTGGTACTATCATAGACAAACGCTGCCAAGAGTTAATGTTTGTACATTAAAGGTATACATATGTGCCTAAAAAATAGAAAAGCTACTATTTAGCTACTACTATATCCTTTAGAGGTGTCAATGTAGACCATTTAGGTACAAATGTGTTCCTTTTTAAAAGGTACTACCGCAGTGGCAGCTTTTGTACCTTTATTTCTGAGAGTGAATGCTCATGTATGAGTGTAGTAATGCATGCGTGACATTAGGGGGCGCAATAAAACAGACTATTTTTGTCAAGAATGATCCACTGTGCAGTCGCATTGCTTTCTGTGCTGAGATTCAGAATACATTTAGTTCAAATCAGAAAATAGATAGCATAAAAATATCACAATATGTTAGTTGATTTATTGCCAAGCTAATAATAAATAAAAATAATAAATGCTTAACTATTTAATGATCTAGCTGTATTTTAAAAATAATAAAAAACAAATAATTAATAATAATTATAATTGTTGTCATAAAAGTATAAAAATCTATCAAATATTAA